AACGAACACGAACACACCTTATTTCTAAACGAACGAACACGAACACACCTTATTTCTAAACGAACGAACACGAACACAAAGATTTTTTCGTTCACCGTTCGTGTTCGTTCGTTTGTTCAGTTAAGTTAAACGAACGAACATGAACAAACCTCTGTTCGTGTTCGTTCGTTCGGTTCATTTACAACCCTAAGTACCGATAAATAACTCCTAAACTTGTACCCGACGCGTCTTCATCTTTTGAAAACGGTCAATATATACCCAAAAATAATTACAAAAAATATGGTTTTGGTAATTTGGGCTTTGTTTTGTTTGGGTTTTAGTTGCACCATTTGGATTTCAGGGAAATACGGTAGCACCTTCTAAAACGATACGGTAGCACCGTTAACAAACCTAAATTTTTTACCCTTCGGTGACGAAATAATACGGTGGCATGTGCCACCCATGCCACCTCTACAGGTCTGCCTATGATGAGCAAGACACAATAAGAACTCATTGTCCCACGTTTGGTGCGACATCAAGTCCACTAAGTTTTGTGTATGAATAAAGTTGTCTGTATGGATCAATCCGTCTATAAACAGGGAAGGTTTTTGTTTGGGTGGATTTTTTCGTAGATGGAATAAGTATGTTCTTTAATTTGGAGGGACATGTTTGGAAAAAAAAAACTTGGTTTCTTTGCATAAAGTTCCGCCCAGAAGCTTACTGAATAAGACACTTTCTACATCATTGAGCCACTACCAAACAATCATGTATAGCTGACCGAATAAGCTGTGAATCTCATTAGCTGTTGCAAACAAGCCCTTAGACCGGGACATGACAGTTCTGTGTGGGACAGTCCCACCAAAATAGGTAGAACAAAATTAAGAGAGATGATACATGATTTGGCATACCAAACACACCCTTAAAGGCCATATGGGTTTGTGTACCTTACTGTGGAGAATGCTTGGAGGGAAAACGAACCCATGTGTCCACTAACAATCCCTAAATAGTGAACAGGCTCATGAGGCAGCAACCCGCATGATCATTAATGCCATTGAATCAGCAAACTTCAAATTCACAAAAGAGTAGGACATAATGTTCAACCTATAAATATCATATTCATTAAGATCGGATGATTCAAGCCCGAATACTTGTATAGGGGTGGGACTAGAAGTTTTGAGGTCATAGGTGGGAATTTAAAGGTGCATATTACATTTCATACCCAATTAAGGTCCTAAGTGAACATCACCATCAAAATAGTGAACCTATCTTTAGAACATGAATGGAGTTAAAGCAATGGCATTGCTCTCTTATGCTTTTTGCTCATAATTATGAAATGACTCTTGGTGAGACCTAAAAGCTTTTTGCTAGATTCATGGACCATTGGCTTAAGTAGAACTTGATTCTTTTTTTAACTCCCTGTGCATCTTTTTCTTTTTTCTCATATAGTGCTAGACTACAATTCC